AACAGTTTGCCAGCACACTGTCTGCTGTCCCTGTGCTTATTTATAGCTGTGTTTTATTGAGGTGACACTGATGGAGAAGGGCTGTTGACTTTTCCTCACCAGTGAGTCGGTTCAATCAGCCTGTGTGAGGCGCAGAGGGAATGCGGCACTACTGACGGCGTGAACACGCTCCGGCTCCGTCACCCAGTAAACGAGCTCTGGACATCAATGCCAGTAGCCAAATCCTCCATCATTCCCCATGTCTGCAAGAGAGATAAGTCAGAGAGAAATACTTTTATTTGGTGGAAGTTTATACAAGTGCGATTTTCTCACGAGGTCGACACTTTTTGATTTGACACGATTTGCGAGGAAAGCATTTTCTGATTCACTGTGAATGTGGATGGTTGATGATATTTTAATGGGAATAACAGTTTCTTAGTGACATTTTTGACAGCCCGTGTGAGATTGACCCAATTGTACTTGTCATACTTGAAAATATTTTTGCATAAATAAAACAAAGCCTACATTAAAGGCCATTTTGGCATTGTGACATTTTCAAGAAAAAAAAAAAAAAAAAGAAGCGAAGAAGAAGCTGTCTCGTATGCTTACCAAGTTTGCATTTATTTGATCAAAAAAAGAGTAAAAACAGAATAATATAACAATTTAAACATTTTCTACTTAAATATATTTTAAATTGTAATTTATTCCTGTGATGCAAAGCTGAATTTTCAGCATCATTCCAGTCTTCGTCACATGATCCTTCAGAAATCGTTCTAATATGCTGATATGCTGTTCAAGAAAATGTCTTCTTCATCTTATTATTATTAATGCTGAAAACAGCTGTGCTTAATATTTTTGTGGAAACCCTGATACATTTTCGTCAGGATTCTTTGATGAACAGAAAGTTCAAATCAAATTTGTAACAATAAATGTCTTTACTGTTGCATCCTTGCTGAATAAAAGTATTAATTATATTTTATTGAACCCTGTAAATAGAAAAAGACTAAATACTAACTAATTCGTAGCAGACATTGGTAGTTGACTAACAATTATTTATTTTTTTTGTGGAAACTGATACATTTTCAGGAAACAGTATAGATGCTTCATTCATCCCTGTGTGTGTATACATATATTCTTATGTGTGTGTGTGTGTGTGTTTGTGCTTACATATGTTGTTTACAACTAGTGCTAATTAGACTAAAATAAGAGAGTGTTAAAAAGTGTTAAAGGTGTTAAAATGCTGTAGGTGTATTGTTATTTCTGCAGGAAGTTTAAAAAAAGTGTCATTCTCCTACTCCAGAAGTACTACTGTATGTTAAGATGTGTTGTGTTTCAGTAGTTGTTGTGGTATTTTTTAATTTGCTATTTTATTATATGAAGTCAATAAACAGGCTCTAAAAGATGACTGGACAAGATAATTGAATGTATGTATTTTTCATTCTTCACTGTCAGTGTCCTTGAAAATTGAGTGTTGTTTCTTCCTTCAAACTTTGATTAAAGCTGAAGCAAAATGTATGTCATTGCGGTTTTCTTTCAGGTTAGTAATGAGCCTATATTAACAGTTGACCCCAAAATTTAATTACCATCACTATTTACTCACCCTCATTTTGCTGTAATTTATTCTGTGGAACACATAAGAAGTGGTTTCTTAAGAATCATCAAAATCTTTTTTCACCATGACTGTGACACTGACAAAGTGCACCATAAAAGTAGTCCATACAAATCCAAGTTCATTGAAGTTTTCTGAAGTCATACAGTTTTGAATGAATTTTCATTTCAGGGTAAATATCCATATAACTGTTTTTCAACATGTGTCCACTCTAATTCTGTCAGACTTTTGGACCCGTTTTGCCCCCGTAGTTCTTCCTGTGTTTCCTTATATGGTATTTTTCCTGTTCTTGTTTAGTTTGATTGCCTTATGATTCCTTGCACCCGAGTTCCTTATTATCCTGTGTATATTAGTTCCTGTCTATTCCTTAGTTCTTCGTCGGGTCTACTTGTTGTGAACGTTATCCTTGTGTTGTGTGTCTCCATGTTGGATTATTAAAGACTCTCGTTTTGTGAAATCTCCACGTCTCCTCGTTTCCTCGTTCCCTTGCTCCAGCGTATTGTGACAGAAGACCCGACCAAAAATAGTTACCTCTGTGTGTTCCCTCCATTTTTTCCTAGCACCCTCCACTCCGCCGTGGCCCGGCAGTCCACTAGCTCCACCGGGCTCCCTCGTCCCTCCGGCTTCGCCTTGGTCTGGCGTTGACCATCCTGCACCTCGGGACTCCACTCTAGCTTCGCCTCGTCCCTTCGTCTCTCCGGCTCCATCAGGCTCCTTCAGGCTCCTTCATCCCTTCGGCTCCTCCTCAGTCCTCTGTTGCTCCGGATCCACGCCTTCGCATCGGTCGCCGGTGCCATCTGCTCCACCTAGGACCTCTGGATCCTCCCTGTCGCCCTGGCTCATCGGCTCTCCGTCTCCATCGTTCCCTTGCTCCAGTATATTGTGACAAATTCACTGTTAAATGTCATGATTTGTACCCTGCTGGCTGTTGGTTCCCATTTTTGTGGATCTGGACAGCTGCAGACATCATTGGTCTCTTGATTCCCTTGACCCCGTCTATCCAAGACAGACTGAACAATGACTAATTATATGAAGATGTCTCTCCAGCATCTCTAGTGCATGACTGTGAAAAGGGTTTCAAAAAAATTACTGGGCTATGGCAAAAAAAATGCAAGTTTTTTTTTTTAGCCCTAGTACATGTTCATTAAATATTCAGCCTTTTTTTTGTCTTGTCTCTGGTGTTAAAATAATAAGGGTGCTGCTGATGAAACAGTCTTTGTTGTTGGTTATTTGAGCTTTGTTGTTGTGTTTGCAAGCAATACAGCTGAAAACCGGCCACAACATTAAACCAAAGTGCTTCACAGAAGAAGCCCAATGTCCTTTCCAAAAACAGTATGAAGATGGCAATCCAAACAAGAAAAGTCACTCAAAGTCTGTATGCAAAAGAGTGATCATGTTTTAAATTTGATGCCTGAGAAATAGTTTGTGTTAATGTAACAAACGTGTGCACTGTAACAAATATTTATCATCAACATTTAATTAGTCACATCAAATTCTAATTTTGTCTGAAACATCTAGGAACACAAATGAAATTGAACATTAAGTCTGCATTTCTTCTGGCGTGTCAAAGTTAATGAAGGAACTGTTAATGTTTTCTGTGGCCTGGAAGATTGTGTGACTGTTTGCTAGAGTCGTTTATTACATGTATAATCAGAAATGTGTTTATTTGAAAATCACTTTTTATTTACTCTTCCACAATACGACTTTTATTTGAATATCAACAAAACATAATTGTAAATAAAATGTGTGCAGATTGATAGCTCTTAACTGAGGTATTACAGTAAAAATTACAAAACTAATTTAAAATTAAATAAAATAATTTAACACTGTGAAAAATGTCAACATGCTAACATACATACTTGTTACATGGTAACAAAAACAAGGCTCAACAACAAGGATGATGGCCTGGGGTCAGAGTTGGAAAGTTTCATAAAGGTCACTTTCCTTTTTGGGTCGATGCTCTGCTGTCACCACTTCACATCCAAAAATCATGTGTTTTCATACATTTGAAATATCTTGGATATTTTGAACATTATTGTTCATTCAGTATAGCCAGTGCTATCTCTCTTGCTAAAATAAGTGATTTGCTGAAACTGATAAAGACTTTGCAATGTTCTTAGATGCATCTTCTAAATACTGAAAATTATGACCAGATTTTTGCATGTTATGCCATTTACATCACTGAATAAAATAAATAAATACATACATGCATGCATGCATAAAAAAACAAAAAAGGTAATTGCAACTTTTTATCGCAATTTGGACTTTATTCATAAATGCAAGCTATAATCTAAGAATTGCGAAATGTAAACTGAGAATTCTGTTTTTTTTTCTGTTTTTTTTCTTGCAGGTCCAAGTTTGCATTTTGCAGTTTCTAAGTTTACATCAAATTCTTTTTTTTTTCCACCTGCCACAAAATAAAAAAATTAATTATGACCTCTTATCTCACAATTCCTATTTCTTTCTTGCAATTGCAAGTTAACATCTTGCAATTCTGCCTTTTTTGTCCTCGGAATTGTTAGTTTATATCTTGCACTTTTTACCTTTTTATATCTCACAATTGATCTTAAATTTAGAATTCTGACTTGAATTTAATATTTAGAAGATAAAAAAGTAATAGATAAAAAGGTCACATCTTATTTTGCAAGTAAAATCATTGTTAATGGTTTTATATTTAAGATCAATGCAGTGAAATAACTGGAAACTTTTGGGGAAAAATATATTGTTGAGCCCTGTATATGTTTTTTTTTGGTGTGTATAAAAGCTGACAGAAAAATGTAAAATTGCATTTCAACCATAATAAATTAAATAAAATAATTAATTTATTCATACTTACAAATAGCTACATGAATTGAATGCAGCCAAACACATCTAAACAGTCCTTTCAATTAAATTTCTTATTTACTGTAAACATAATCCACTTGCTCTGTATTAAAGATATAGTTCACCCAAAAATGAAAATTTGCTGAAAATGTATTCACCCTCAGGCCATCCAACATGTAGATGAGTTTCATCAAAACAGATTTGGAGAAATTGAGCATTACTAGTGGATTATTGTGATGTTTTATCAGCTGTTCTGACGGCACCCATTCACTGCAGAGGACCCATTGTTTGTCCCTCTAAGCGAGATCCCAATTTCGTCGGTCATCCGACGTGACGTCGAGAGTGACCGACTGAAAGGGAACTAATCTACGGTACATCTGGGATGGCCTGAGGGTTAGTACATTTTCAGCAAATTTTCATTTTGGGTGAAGTATTACAACACTTCACAGAACTTGTACATGAATTTTCAGTAAAAATTATCACTTAAATTTTTTACGATATCATGACAAATGTAATTACAACAAACCTTTAGACAGCATTTGAAAAATTATATTGATACACAACACTACTTACCGATTCTCACAGATGCTGTGGAGAATATGTCACAGTCTAACAAAAAGGTTTCACTTCTACGGTCACTTTTAGCACAGTGCCAGGTAAGTCAACACTTATGTACAATTAATATAAAAATCATTTTCCGCCTGTGTGCACAGGTCAATGGCTTTAGATACTTCCAGCGAGTCAAACTCTGTATTTGTTTTCAGCGTTGCGATTTAGGAACCTCGTGATACTCAAACCGGAGATTAAGAGCTTCAGTATGAAACAGATTCAGATATACAGAGTTCATTCCCAAACTGCTGCTTAGACTCAGCTGGTTCTGCCTTTGTTCGGTTTGTTCGCAAGTCAGTCATTGAAAAGCAAACTGCCCTTGTGGTTTGGTCAGACATATGGGCAGATGGTATCACGGTATACACTGTGATAAACAGTCACAGGAAATCAGTTGACAGTACTGTGAATAGTTCGCGGCCCTGTCCGCAAACACTCATCTCATCTTCCTCAGACGAATTCTGTTCTCCTTGTCCCGCTTCTTTAACGTGCTGATGAACTGGGTGAAAAATAACTCCTGGTCTTTCCTCTTCAGAACCTCCTTGAATCGCGGATCTTTTCCGTACTTTTCTGAAAATTCTTTGAACGTCGACCTACGAAAGAGAGAACATCAGAGTGAGATCCTTGACAGTCATCTGATGTTTTACATCATCAGTGTGATGGTCCACTATTGTTCAGCTGTAAGAGGTCTGATTGCGGTTGTTTTTTATGGCTAGACTTTGAAAGCCTTCTCTATAGAGGAGATCCTGCTGGTCTTCAGTCTGAAGTACAGGTGAAAACACCCTGCCCAGGTGAACCTGCCCAGAGCACTAAAGCAGCAAAGCACAATATCACAAAGAAACATCCCTCATTTTGATGCATTTGTTATCTCCTGAAATATTAACTAAAATCTTTTTTCTTGGGGATTGCAAGCTGGTTGCTAGAATGTTGCTATGATTTTTCCAGGGTGTTCTACGCACATAGCGTTGGTGTTCTGGCTGGTTGTCAGGGATTTGCAAGGGTGTTCTGAGAGGTTGTTTACTGGGGCAAGTCAAGTTGCTAGCGTTAGGGTTAAGGATAATGCAAGTTTAATATTAGCGTTAGGGGTTTTCAAAAACCTGACTAGAAAAAATATCACTCAAGTTGTGTTTCTGTTTGAGAACTTGCAATGAGAGCATGCTAACCCTTACCAAAAAGAAGTATACTTTAAGTTTATTTTATTAAGTATACTTAAGTAAAGTTCAAGAATATTTAAAGTATACTTTATGTAGTAAGTATACAAATATCAGTATACTAGTAGTATACTTGTAATTGTACTATTTCAATACTCCTTGGGACTACATTTTGGCCCACTTTCTAGTATATACGTACACTTTTAAGTATACCTTAAGTATAACAGTAGCACACTTTGAGTACACAACTAGTTTACCTCTATGTTTATAGTTTGTACTGCAACTATACTAAAAGTGAACTTATAAGTAACTGATAGTTTACTAATTAAATACTTGTAGCATTTTTAGTACACGTTGAAGTATAGTCTCTGTAAACTACTACTTTAGTAGTTTTATACTGCAAGCACATTTCTGAGAAGTACATAAAAAGTAGACTGAAAGTATACTTTAATATTTTTAGTTTCACATTTATTCAAGCACACTTGAATAAACTTCTAAAGGGAATGTAGCGGAGGCCAATTAGTAAGAGCTGTGCAGGTGAACCTTACTCCCTGATCTCAAGAGGTACACTAGTGACTGACATTAGAGGCTGCGTTCTTTAGTGTCCTTGTTAGTGCGCCCACCTCACATGCCGGAAATGCCAGTTCAAGTTCTGCTCATAGAGGCATTTTCTAAAAGCAACTATGGTCGCAAGTTCCATCATTACCAATAGATGAGTGGGTTACACTGGTGCCGTGACTCGGATAGGAGTGAGGTTTAGGGGGCGAGTGTAATGGAGGCCAGTTAGTAAAAGCTGTGCAGGTGAACCTCACTCCTTTGATCTCAAGAGGCGTACTAGCAACTGATGCTAGAGGATGCGGTCTCTAATGTCCTTGTTAGTGCGCCTGCCTCCCATGCTGGAAATGTAGGTCCGAGTCCCGCTCGGAACGAACGGGTGGGTTACACTGGTGCCGTGACCCGGATATAAAGGGGTGAGTATATGAAGGCCAGCTAGTAAGAGCTGTGCAGGTAAACTTCACCCCCTGATCTCACGAGGCGCACTAGCGACTGATACTATAGGCTGTTAATATTAGTGCATCAATTCACTTCTCTTCAGTTCCTTTCACTATAAATTAATCGGGTAAAGAACAAAGAGGAAACTTCAAGCTGAGTGTTAATCCCTGTGGCATGTTTGAATTCACTTCTGTGCAATACCTTTAACAAGAAACAAGGTTATCTTCAAATACACAAGCACAAAGAAACCAGGACCCAAACTGCAAAGACCATCAGTTATTAACACCTTTGCTGAATAAATAATCCACTCTAGAGACGGATTTTATAAATGCATCAGCAAAAGCAGTCACACTTATTTCATAAACTCACCTGGATGTGATTTTTGATTCCTCTAGCAGTTTTCTGTACTCTTCTTTCGCTTGCTGGAGTTTGCACTTTTTCTCTTTGTGCTCCTCGTTCATTCTTGCTTTGACAAACTGATCATAAATCTAAGGGGGAAAAATAAATAAAATAAAAATAAATTATTATATTATAAAAATAATATTTATAATATAAATTATTTAATAACATTTTAAAATAAATGTTTAAGATATTTTTAATTGTAATATGTATTCCAAATATATAAAAACATAAAAAATATATATTTAATATATAATTCATTTTGATGAATAAATCATCCTCGATGTGTTATAGACCAATTTCAGTGTTTGCAAACAGTGATGACGTTTTTTGTGGGCGGCGCCTATCTGGTGGCAGAAAATGCCAGTTTTAACGTAGCAGTCTATGCAAGCCATGGAATAAAAGAATAAAAAAGGTAATTTTGAGTTTATATTTAAAAATTCTGACTTTTTTCTTTAAATTCTGAGATTATATCTCACAATTCTGGTAAGAAAAATCAGCTCGTCATTCTCTCTTTTTCCCTCGGCTCAGAATCATGATTTTATAATCCCACACTTCTGGCTTTTTTTTCCTCAGAATTGACAAACTCGCAATTGTTGAGTTGAATTAAGTTATGAAGTTCGAACTAGGAGATAAACTTGCATTTGCAAGAAAAAAAAGTCAGAATTGTGAGATAAAATAGGTAAATGTTATCTAAAATGTTATAGGTTTAAATAGTATTTCATGCTTTAACTGTAGGGCTAATACAATATGTCTCCTATGTGAATATTATATAGACCTATTTTTCTAATCTAATTTATGCTTTAAAATAGGGTAATCATAGCAGGTTTCATCCAGTCTGTCCATTTAAACATCTGCGTTTAGCTTCAAATGGCATCTTTGACAACATTATTATATAAAAATGATTTGCATTCCGATTCTGACATCCAAAGGTACAACAATAAATTGTTTCTCTTACTCCATGGATTTTACCCGTTTCCCTCCATTTGTTACCAATGTTTTTCTGCCACCACAATGCGCGCGCAACTGCAAGTGACGTAACTGTGACGTTTACTCCAAATTGGTCTATACAGTACACAGTTACCTTGATGGAAGACATTTGGGGCCAGTTTTACTAAGGAGGGCAAATTAGCGCGAGAACGCAATTCCAAATCCGCGCTGATGGGCGTGGAAATTTCTGCGGGTGATTTACTAACAACGTGCAAATTAAAGAAAACAGACGCAACATCTCATTTACATATCAACCAACACAATATACCAAGCGCAGCGCAAATTAGAGTAGTAGCAAATAAAGAATAAAGAAATAAAGAAGCCACAGTACGTTGAAAAGAACCGGTGGACAAAAAATGAAGGTTTGCTTGAAGCTTTGATAGACCTGGTATTGCGTGACTCCTAATTGAGGGTTCCAAGTCGTTTTTTATTTCCTGAAGCAAATTAAAAATAACATGTCTTAACAAACGATATGTTCGGATAATGTGTTCTTCTGGCATTCAAAATAAATTAATACATGTGGAAAAATCCTCTCCCTTCTACCACGCGCGCACTGTTCTCTGCAGTGACTCCTCCTAGCAACAATAATTGCAGCCATTTCAAGCGCAAAATAGTCTCAAGTTGGGTTTTTTTTCCTCAGAATTGACAAACTCGCAATTGTTGAGTTGAATTAAGTTATGAAGTTCGAACTAGGAGATAAACTTGCATTTGCAAGAAAAAAAAGTCAGAATTGTGAGATAAAATAGGTAAATGTTATCTAAAATGTTATAGGTTTAAATAGTATTTCATGCTTTAACTGTAGGGCTAATACAATATGTCTCCTATGTGAATATTATATAGACCTATTTTTCTAATCTAATTTATGCTTTAAAATAGGGTAATCATAGCAGGTTTCATCCAGTCTGTCCATTTAAACATCTGCGTTTAGCTTCAAATGGCATCTTTGACAACATTATTATATAAAAATGATTTGCATTCCGATTCTGACATCCAAAGGTACAACAATAAATTGTTTCTCTTACTCCATGGATTTTACCCGTTTCCCTCCATTTGTTACCAATGTTTTTCTGCCACCACAATGCGCGCGCAACTGCAAGTGACGTAACTGTGACGTTTACTCCAAATTGGTCTATACAGTACACAGTTACCTTGATGGAAGACATTTGGGGCCAGTTTTACTAAGGAGGGCAAATTAGCGCGAGAACGCAATTCCAAATCCGCGCTGATGGGCGTGGAAATTTCTGCGGGTGATTTACTAACAACGTGCAAATTAAAGAAAACAGACGCAACATCTCATTTACATATCAACCAACACAATATACCAAGCGCAGCGCAAATTAGAGTAGTAGCAAATAAAGAATAAAGAAATAAAGAAGCCACAGTACGTTGAAAAGAACCGGTGGACAAAAAATGAAGGTTTGCTTGAAGCTTTGATAGACCTGGTATTGCGTGACTCCTAATTGAGGGTTCCAAGTCGTTTTTTATTTCCTGAAGCAAATTAAAAATAACATGTCTTAACAAACGATATGTTCGGATAATGTGTTCTTCTGGCATTCAAAATAAATTAATACATGTGGAAAAATCCTCTCCCTTCTACCACGCGCGCACTGTTCTCTGCAGTGACTCCTCCTAGCAACAATAATTGCAGCCATTTCAAGCGCAAAATAGTTTAAAGTTGGGGTAAGCGATTTTTCAAAAACGCTTTAGAAAACTGATTCGGGCCGACTAGCAAAACAAACTTGTAGCCAATCAGCAGTAAGGGGCGTGTCTACTCATGATTATTTATTTTCTTAAAGGGGGGGTAAGCGATTTTTCAAAAATGCTTTAGAAAACTGATTCGGGCCGAGTAGCAAAACAAACTTGTAGCCAATCAGCAGTAAGGGGCGTGTCTACTCATGATGTGGAGGAGATAGTGCACAGGACGGACGTTAGCCAGCCTAGCGACAGAAAGATAGAGATGGCGGATAAAAAACAAAAGAGGAAAACGTCTGCGTAACAAAAGAAGGCTTAAGGCAATAAGGCAAGAAGTAGGACTTTCCAGCGTGGAGAGAACTCAAGGAGCGGAAGGCCTGCGATCGGACGCCGAGGTTGCTTTGTTTCTTCTCGATAGGTGAGTAACACCGTGTCTGCGCCGCAACAGCTAAAGTCTGTCTAGTACACTGGTACTGCAAAGCAACCGTTGAAAATCATTTGAAATTTGTGTCAATACATCATAAATAGACTGCAGCAGCAGTTTTCTGTCGATTTGTTGAATACTCTCCTCCCATAAATTTTGCGTCTGAAAAGGAAACTCCTATAAATGCATATTCAATAAGGTAAGGCACAAAAATAACTGTGTCCATGCCTTTTCAGCACTAATTCATCACTGCGCGTCTTTAGTAAAACCTGACAGTACAATTTTAATGCCAAAAGACGGTTTGCGCTGGCGCAAGCTGTTAGTAAAACTGGCCCTTGGTCTTACCACCATCTACTAGTACTTTCAAAACCACAGTAGGTCTGTGGAAATGTAGAGGTTATGAAGTTTGAAGTTTTATTAATGTTTGAGGTTGACTGAGGCTGATGTGAAACCTTTGTGTCGTACCTGCTTTCGTTCCTCCGGACTTAGCAGCAGGTACCGTGGATCAAATACAATTTTGTGCAGTTCTTTCTCCCAGGTGGAGAACGCAGACACCTGTTCAAAACACACAGGATGAATGATGCTCATCCAGAACAAACGCATGTCAATTACGCCACTTCATTTTAAGATTCAGTGTGTGCAAATATACACTGTCTGTACGATTTTTGTGGGCCAAATAATGGCAGAATTTTTGGGTGAACAACTGCATTAACTTATATCTCATTTATTTCTTTAAGGCTGAAGTTCCATTATTATCACTGGATTTCTCACCCCTCTTTCCAGAAGCATGTCTCTGAAGTGGCCGATCCGGAGCTCCAGCGGTAAAACCATCCGAAGAGATGATCCGTTTTTTTCTTCACACTCAACAGGATGGTCCAGTCTTCAAAGGAATAGAAATACAACAGCTCTAATGTGTAATTCTGTTCATATTTTGTCTAATATAGTGGGAAAAAAACTGGTGTAGAAACAATTTTCACTAATTAAAAATGGCATTTTTACAGTTAAAGGTGCATTAAGAGATTTCTGAGAGACACTGTTGATATTTGAAATCACCAAAAACAAACACTCCTTTCCAAAAGGATCACACCCCTATCTTGATAGCTCCGCCCCCAAATTCATGAACATGGTATGCAACATAGGCATCATGAGTGGACACGCTCCTTCCTGCTGATTGGCTAGAAGTGTTTTGGTGCTCTTTCCAGTCCACTTTCAATAGCATTTCTCAGAAATCGCTTACTGCACCTACAAAGAAATGGCAAGTTCTAATTCTTTAATTTTTAATTCTTCCCAAACTATTATGACATGTATGCTTGGCTTATTAACAGAACTGTTTGCCAAAGACTTGACAATTGATGACTCTTTCAAATATCTTCAAATGTTATGGAGTAAATATTGTGTACATTAAATATTCATGTCATTTCAGCAATTCTGACTGTGCCTCTTTTGCTATCATTAATTTTTATCACAAACTGCAAAGTTTGGACACACTTTGTTTCTCTTGATCTTCAAAACATTTTGATCTAAAAGCTCATGATTAAATGCTTGAAGTTTTGAAGACAAACATAAATCGTGACTATGATTTTTATTTCTTATTTTAAAACTGAATTTGTAATTACTTTTTTAATTGGGCATTAAAAAAAAAAACATAACAGCCAATCAGTATTAACCACAAAAAGAAAAAAAGAAAAAAAGAAATCCAAACTGTCGGAAATTAAATAAGCAACATAAAATCTCTCCAAATTTTTCTTGAAATGTAAAGTGTTTTCTTGTCTCTACACAGACATTTGGGCGTACTTCAAACATCCAACTGTTCAATTTAAATCATCTCCAAGAGAGACAGATTGAGAAATTCGCATCAAGCTGTGAGTGCAGATGTTGCCCACCAAAAACCGGAGGCTTCCTGTTGAGCTGCAATTATTAAGGTGAGTGACATACAACACATCTGATACAAGATCCTCCTCATCAATTAAAACAGACTCAGATCTGCTGTCATATTTTGCATGGCTCGACCCTACTTACTTGTAGCGCTTGGTCTTTGAACTATGTTCCTCTTCATCGTCACCATCAGCATCAACATTAGAGCCATCGTCTGTTGATGGAACAAAACATGCTGTAGATCAGTATATCCTATGTACTTGGATTTAACAATGTAAACAGATCATCAAAATAAATGAGTGATAAATTAGTAAAAATATGCAACAAGTTTGTAAAGTTTTATTTATGCACACAACTCCAGCTGATCTGTATTGATATACCTGGCTCATGCCAGGTTGTTAATCCGAGAAGTACAATAAAAACAAATTTACTTGAACGGACGTATTTAAATTATAGACACTGAATAGATTAAGATCATCAATAGATAATCTCCACGAAATGGCAATAAAACTAAATCAATAAAGATGAAAAGCCTTCTGGGAAATCAAGCCAACCATATAATAACTTCCAGACAAGATCCAGACTAATTCAATATTTGCAGAGCCACTTCATTGGATTACTGCTTTTAGTTAATCCATGAGAACACCAGTTCTGCAGTTGGTGGGTGTATTAAAACTTTTGCTTGAGCATCATTATCACACTATGAGGATTAAACTTTCAGTCAACTTCATCCCTTTTTACAGACTCTGCTCCTGTATTTCATATCATAAAGTCGTGAGTTACACTCCACTGATTCAGCAACTTAATCTGAACATAAATGAGTCTTACCTTGAGGCTACAGTAGGGCTTGCCAACCTGATCTCATTAGTATTATGCTACTGTTCAAAAGTTGGGGGTCAGTACTTTTTTTTTTTTTTATTAATACTTTTATTCAGCAGGGATGCATAAAAGTGATCAAAAGTGACAGCAAAGACATTTATAATGTTACAAAAGATTTCTATTCACAAAAAAATGCTGTTCTCTGTTCATCAAATAATCCTGAAAATAATTATTTCCACAAAAATGTTAAGCAGCACAACTGTTTTCAACATCACTAATAAATAATACATGTTTCTTGAGCAGCAAAGCAGCATATTAGAATGATTTCTGAAAGAGCATGTGACACAAAGGCTGATGAAAATTGAGTTTTGCCATCACAATAATAAATTACACATTTATTCCTGTTTATATTTGTTTTTGCATTTTTTATATTGACAAATAAAATAGAAAGCAGTTATTTGAATTGCAAAAATATTTCACATTATTACTGTTTTGACTGTATTTTCAGTCAAATAAATGCAGCATTTGTGAGCATTAGAGACTTTTTTCAATGAATGAATTAACGAATTAACTCTTATCTTATAACAGGTTCATGGAATATGCATATGTTTTATGGCATCACATTTTTTTAACACAGTTAACACATTTACTGAATCTTCCATAACAGTTTTTGTCTGTGTGATTTCTAAATACGATGATGTTTCAATTATAATTCATACTTGCTGAACTTTTGATGTTAATTCAATTCATTTTCACTTTGTGCCATCTGGATTTCATTTATAAATAAATTTGCCATTAAATGGGTCAGAAAACACATTTCCTGCATACCAATTTGTACACTATTCATCCTAAATGGCTTCTAAATCCGAATCGTATGGTATGTTTAAAAGAGTGTGTTAAATACGCCTGAATGGTCTATTTTTTCCAGCCAAAATCTTACCTAAAGAGTCTTTCTTGCGTTTATGTGGCGGGTCCTCGATGATTCGATTGAGGTCTCCGCGGTCTTTCAGATCCACTGGTTTCTCCCATACTGACAGATGCATGGTGGGATTGAAGAAAAACCCCCTGTCATCGCCTGTCCACACTACACACCTACAGAAAAGAGAGAGATGCTGTCATGCCTTTATACAGTCGCATACATGCAGGAACACAATCCGACAGACTGTTTGTGGTATTCTCACAATGTGACTAAGAAATCCCGATGATGAAAAACAGTCCCAACAGGACCAGAGAGACCCAGAGAGAGGATTATGGGTCACAAATGACAGCTGAGAACGACTGAGACCAGATGGGCTGTATTTGACCATTTGATACAGATTCTGATGTATTTTTGTCTTCACCAGCTATTTCTTTATTTTTATTTTTTTGGTCGTAATCATCCTTCAGTTACACAAGATTTTTTTAAATGGATAAAATCCACAATATGTCCAGCATCAAGTATCTACAAGCCTATTATTCATTTAAGTTTTATGTCACAAATCCAAAAGCGACCAATTTCTCAGATGTTCCGCACTAGATATTCTTACCTTACAGTGATAATTTAAGACCCATTTCAGCCTTTATTCAGAGCATATCGGATAAAGTATTCATGGATTTTGCCATGGTCTGTGAGGTAATTTGATACAACCTCATGCCAACCATGACAAACCAATCCTGACATTTCATTTTGCAACCCCATCGCATCAGGGAGATCGGCAGTGCCTTCCTGTACCATAAAACTGACCCAATGATATTAAAAAAATCTTTGAAACTGAGCATCCGCTCTGCTCATATGCAGTTATTCATAGTGCAAACATATGGTTAGCACTAGACACGTGTTTCATTTGTCTTTCCATTAATATTGCAGGGATTTAAATCATTTCTATGCAACCTCCATATAAAACAATAACTATAAAATTTAATTTTGAAGCAAGAGCTCTACCCAAAGGACCATTTTATTGCTCAGAGGTTGTTCTTTTATGGCATAGAAGACGCAAAGTAGTGCTTTTTTGTGTGTGTGTGTGTTCCATGCTAAAATACTTTCTTATGCCTTTCTTTCATCCCGGCTTACTATGCAGAACAACTATGAGCTATTCTTACGTCAGATGTCCTGAAAAATGCAAAACACTAGCATAGTCCAATTCACAAGCAAATGACTCCTATGAACTTGTACTTTTTAAATGAACCAAAAACATACAGAACAACCAGCGTAATCTAATTCATAAGACAATGACTTGTATGTTCATCATACTGAATCAAAAACATTCATCAACGTAACCAGTGTAGTTTGATTTGTGATGACTCTTATGAACTGGTACTTTTTAGGGAATAAATATGTATAGCATAAACAACTCTTATGAACTGATTATTTAAAGTGAATCAAAAACATACAGCACCACCACCAGTGTAGTCTTGTTCATGAAAAAAATGGCTCTTATATTATTGGACTTATTTTATTGGCAAATAGCTGTTATTTTATTTCTAAAACTGATATAACTAATATTCCAAGATTTCCCATGCAATTTACAGAATTAGCTAAGTAAAGAAAATAGACATTTATAAATGAACTATATGCCCAAATGAATCGGAATTGAAAAAAAAAAATCTGAACGCTTGAACCAAATGATCTGTCCTGATATAGTTTGAGACATTATTGAGGTCTCTTCTTGAACTATAGATAAAAGAAATATCAGACAAGTTGAAGACTTAAGCAATAATCTCAGTTTGTTCTCCATTCGATCTCATTTTTGACACATTTGAGACACTAACTGGGTTACATTCTAAAATGGGTTTTTAACGCAGGAATCTAACCAACATCCATATCTGGATTATCACACAACAACTCCAGTTCTGGTGTCATCAACCACATGTTAAATGCATTTAACAGTGAAGCCAGTTTGTGTGAGTCAACAAAAGCTGAACGCGATAAGCCATGACACCTCCTGGGCTTCAAAAATGTGTGTGTGAGTGTTTGTTTGCAGTGAAGGAAAGCCCACACTGCTTTGGCAGAGAAAAATGGAAGTCTTGCATAACACGTCGTCCTAATGCAGGTTTTCGATTGGGTGTCAGTGCATCTGTTTAGCGCTGGAGGTTTGCCATGTGCACTGCTGTATTTTATTCAAGCATGTATTACTGTCATCAAACAGTTATAAAGCGGCATGCATCATTTAAATGGTGCTAAAGCTGCTGACATTTATGACAGAATGAGAGGAGATAAAACAAACATCTTTGTCACTATAGAAGAACAAATTGACTATTAAAGCATTCCAAAACACAGGAGAAAACAGCGCACTTACAACAGTGACATTTGAAAGTGTAGGTTGAAACAGAGACAACTGCGAGAACACGATCGATTGGTCATTATCTTGCATGCAGAGAGTCATTTATTAGCAATAAAGATCAAATTGATGGCGAGCCATACAATCATATCTCTGCAGACAAAACGAGAATTTACCATGGTGATCCAGGTATAGGCGTAGATGCAACTGGCCGCTTGTCTTGGAGCGAGCTGTCCTCGTCCATACTGACTATAAAAGGCCCATCCTGCACACACAAAAAAGGATATGTCAGCTTGACATTTAAATATATATATATATATAGAGAGAGAGAGAGAGAGAGAGAGAGAGATTAAATATTAAATTACTAAAACTGAAATATGAAATATAAATATGAAGAGTTCATTTCCAAAAACAGATAACTATGTTTTTTGGAAATTAATTGGGTTATTCTGATTAGGTTAAAAAATAACAAAAAAATACAGCTAACTAACACAATAAAAACATGATTACATAATAAAAAACATGATTTTTGAAAATTAAAAAAATAAAATAAACTCTTCATATATAAAAATTACTAAAACTTAAAAATAAACAATACAAATCTAAAACCAAAAATATTCATAAAATACTTAATAAATAATGCTAAAATAATACTGATAATAGAACAATTTAATGAAAAAAAAAAAAAAAAAACACATGGGCTAAAATAATACTGATAATAGAACAATTTAATGAAAAAAAAAAAAAAAAACACATGGGTAATCCCAAAATGTAAGATTAAATAATGATTCAGTACTGAAAAGTATCAGTCAAAATAGTTCTAATAATTAAAAATGGATTATTTTAGTCAATACTTGTATGATGTATGTATTTTCATACTTATTTGAGTATCATATTTTTTATCATAGAAATACTGTATATGCAGATCATTCCAAATCACATCTGAAATCGAATCACTCAGTTTGGTTCGGCAGCAGACAGCGAGGCTTTAAAACAGCGCATATGTTTTGTTTTTTTTCTACTCAGTAATCATGCAGGCAAAGTGAACCTCAATTATCTCACCCCAAACACAGGTTACAAGGCTAATAACAACATATAGTGTTGATTATCAACCTGATAAATGATGTAGATGTGTTCAGCCTTGAACACACACTCAGAAAACAACCAATTATCCAGTCCCTGCATGACCGAATGATGCAGATTACTGATTCTCTGCATAAGGTCGGGCAGCAGGCTTGCACACTCTTTACGGTCAAATGAATTACCGTTCTGGGGGAATTTCGCTAATTAATCTGGCTGAGAAGATTTTAAAAGCTGTCACCTATGGGGACACTGTGGTACAGCGCTCTTCAACAAAAGCGATTATTAACTCAATCTTAATTGGACTCCAAATCTGATTGTGCCCACAGTCTGACCTTTTCCACAAATCAGCACGATATTCTTTCTGCCTCTAAGACAATCCAAAACAATTTTCACGAAGACCAAGGTCTGGCAACGAATGAACAGTATGGCGATAGCAATTATGTCGATGTTGCCTATAAAATGGTTTTAAGAATCAAATACAGCTAATGAGAGAATGATAAGGATTACAAACCTCAGCTTTAGCCTCTGGGTTTGGATCACGGTGGAGCACTAAGGCGTCTGTGCAGGATGGCTTCTTCAATTCCAAAATCTTATCTGAGGACAGAGATAAATGCTCAATATCCCCAATGCCCAAATCCGCATTGTTTCTTCAAGAAATCAGCGCCTCATCAATAGTAAATTCCCATATTCACTTCATCTACTAATCAAATGGTTGTGGCATCAAATTAATCAATGAATTCCCATAATGAAAACACTGCAAATCAGTTTATACTGAGAGCTATTTCATTTTGTCTTCTATTTTAAGCAGAGCAATCATCAAGGAAAGAGGGGTGCCTTAATTTGCATAAATGAATATATGTGTTCAGTTATAAGTATGCTGATATGTGTAAATGACAGTATTCTTCACTGCTTGACTGCTATTTCTCAGCTTTCTGAGACCACTAGTGAAAATGCTTTTGTTTCTAATTTAATATGGATGATGTGTGTGTGTGTGTGTGTGTGTGTGTGTGTGTGTTTGTTTGTGAATATGTGTATATATATATATGTGTGTGTGTGTGTGTGTGTGTGTGAGAGAGAGAGTATGTGTGTGTGTTTGTGTGTACGTGTGTGTGTGTGTGTGTGTGTGTGTGTGTGTAATATTTATTTAACTTTCTATTCATCAAAAAGATGTATCGTGGTTTCTGAAGAATGATGCTGAAAATGTATCTTTGAAAACACATGAATAAATTACATTTTAAAATATAAAATAGAAAGCAGTTATTTTAAGTTTAAATAATATTTCAGATCAGATATACTGTATACACAACTTTAATTTAACATTTAAAAGTATCAGCATATTAGAATGATTTCATAAGGATCATGTGACACTCAAGACTGGAGTAATTATGCTGAAAATTCAGCTTTGCATCACAGAAATAAATTACTCTTTTAAATATATTAAAATAGAAAGCAGTTATTTTAACATATAATAACACTTAACAATATTACTGATTTAACTATATTTTTGAACAAATGAATGCTGCCTTGGTGAGCAGAAGACACTTCTTTCAAAACACTGAAAATCTTACTGACCCTAAACTTCTGAACAGTAGTGTACTGTAGTTGGAAGCTGGAAACAAAACAGTACATTTTACAAGAAAATACTATTTCAGTCTTTCTACTTCCAACATTTTATGTTTAATTCAATGTGTTACTTGCCATTTCTTTGTAATTAATTGTGATATTTATTAGCAATTTCTGAGTGAAAATTGTTTCTACATCATTTTTTCCCACACAGATACACAGCGTATTACATTGAGTACAAACAATGAAATGCCATTTGCTCTTTATGAATATTGACAGAAAATTCAGAAGATCAATAATGTATTATATATATATATATATATATATAATCACATTACAAGCAACATCAAAAAGTTATCAAAAGACATTGCAACACATTCTGAACATCAATTGATAAGAGTAATACCTTCTAATAACAACCACCTAACAGCTGGCAGGCGAATCAATAAAAAAAGAACACACTGAGACTGTCAGTAATGGTAGAAACATCAAATGTGCTGCTTGATCTTTTGTCCTGCATGAAATTAAACTCAGACAGGCTGCGCACTGAATTCAGCAGCTTTGGATAAAACAACAAAGAAACGTCAGGGAGAAAAGCTCTTGCTCAGAGGTGTGAATGAGGTTTGCTAAAGGTTGCCTTGATTCCGTAAAGTTAAACACAAGGCATGCAAACATTTCATTCTGACAGGAAATACAGTGGTTAACGACGAATATACATTTCAGTCTTTTCCTCACACAAAGTAACCAAATGACTTCAGAGGACTTGAATATAGTGCACCAGTCATATAGACTTGCTTCTTAGCACTGTAAACTACCATCTACATTCATTGTATGTTAAAATGTGCTAGCAAGATCTAAAACATGTTACCAACTTGTTAAAACATGCTAGCAGCTTGCTACAACATGTTAAATGTGTTAAATCATGCTGGAAACATGCTAACAATTGTGTTACAACGTTAAAAATGTGAACAATTTGCTAAACATGCAAACAATGTGTGACAAAATGCTAGCAACTTGTTAAAATATGCTACAATCATGCTAAAATATGCTAACAAGATGATAAAACATGCTGTGCTATAAACTTGTTAAAACATGCTAACAACATGTTAACTCGTGCTGGAAACATGCTAGCAATGCGTTTGATCATGTTAAAAATGTGAACGATTTGCTAAAACATGCTAGCAATGTGTTAAAAATGCTAGCAACTTGTTAAAATATGCTAACAAGATGATAAAAAGTGCAATGCTAGCAACTTGTTAAAACATGCTAGCAACATGTTAACTCATGCTGGAAACATGCTAGCAATGTTTTAGGATGCTAAAAATGTGAACAATTTGTGAAAACATGCCAACAATGTGCTAAAACATGCTAAAAACATGTTAAAATATGTTACAAACATACTAAAATATGTTAACAACATAATAAAACATGCTATGCTAGCAACTTTGCTAAAATACCCAGATAGCACAGGTACATCTGCAAGATGTCTGTTAAAGATCGCTTCGTCTGGAAAGCATCCGCTGTGTACAAACATCTGACAGACGTCTTTAAGTTGTCAGTTTTACATGCATTCTAAATCATAAACATCTTAAAGACATCTTCTAAACGTCTATTTGACATCTGATAGGAAACGTCCTATAGATGTATTGCAGATGAGCAAACACTAAACAATGCATCTTACAGATGTAAATGTAGACATCAAATAGACGTCTCTGAGATGTACGTGTGCTATCGGGTATCTACCAACATGTTGAATCATGCTAAAAAACTTAAGAAACTAGTAAAGTTCTAGTGTTTTTTTCTGTGGTTTAGTGGTCTGATGAGGTCTAATAGGGTCTGAAGTAGTCTAATACGATTTGAGTTTTTATTGCCATGTAAGTATAACCTCCAAACGTCAAGCTTTTAAATGTTAATTTAAACTTTCAGACAAGCCGATACCAAAGTGTGTCAACAAACTTGATCCAGGTTCTTCTTCTTCTTCAAAAAAAAAAAAGCTCCAACTTTTGAACGGGAGTATATGTATACTGTTAAAGGGGGCATGAAGGGAACAGCTAGTAATAGATTACTTATAAAACAACTAGCACTGACTAATGCTTATTAAACTTGGATAAATCTGTTCTGGCCCCATAGCAACTCTTTGTATAACAACAAGCAACTGCTTTGCAATAAAGGCTGAATAAAGATTCTGTTTGATTTATATCAGACATCATCACAGAGCTGGAAGCGTTGATGGGAAACCTCTCATCCACGCCTACACAAACCATTCATCTGTTTCTGTCAGTGCAGACACTTCCATGGCACGCTTCCACTCTGAGGTCTTACGTAGACGGAAGACAATGGAGAGGAATATCTGTGTGGCGACTAGTTGAATCACAAGCTGTTTATGCTGTGATAAACACAAGGCTGCTGTGTCACACAGGGTCACACAGGGAATGTAGAACTACACCATGATGTAGAAGGAAGGAATATGATGGTTGAACACTGCTGGACAAGTTAAATCTATTTAGCTAGAGTGTGCAGATTCAGATCTATCTTGTATAAAATGCAATGAATTTCATGATGACTGGAAAAGCAAGTGAAGAATGCTTTTCATCCTTTTCTCTATGATCACTTTCTGCCTTATCAGTAATAAATGTGAAAGGCTATATAGCAGATGTCCTTTAATTAAAGCCTCCTTTAGAAGTGCCTGCAGGGCTGTTATTATTTGCAATAAACTTGTCGAATAAATCACAAAAAATTTATGCTATTACAAAAATAATTCCTCACTTCAGAGATGGCACAATAATAACTCCATTAAATAAAAATGGCCTGGGCTGGAATAAAATGCTTTCAAGAAAAAAAAATCAAAGAAGTTTATCTTTATTCTAGTACTGTCAAACGATTAATCGCGATGAATCGCATCCAAAATAAAAGTTTTTGTTTGCATAATATATGTGTGTGTTCTGTGTATATATATTATGTATATATAAATACACACACATACAGTATATATTTTGAAAATATTTACATGTATTTACATGTCTATATTTATATTAATATAATTTATATTATAAATAAATATATTTAATATATAAAAATAACATGTTTTTTCTGAAATATATACATGCATGTGTGTGTATTTATATATACATAATAAATATACACAGTACACATACATACAGTATATTATGTAAACAAAAACTTTTATTTTGGATGTGATTAATCGCGATTAATCGTTTGACAGCACAATTATTTTCTAAACAAATATAACTTGATGATGGCTCTGTCCATTAATAATGAACAGGAAGAATAATGTTTAAAACTTGCTTCTCAACCAGTTGATCTCATTTCTTTGCATATGTATTTTAAATAAAATATACACATACACCATGGCTGCATTTGTTTGATCAAAAATACAGTAAAAACTGTAATATGGTGAAATATTATTACAGTACAATTTAAAATATTATAAAATGAAATTTATTCCTGTGATGCTCCAGAAATTTGCTTCAGTCTTCAGTGTCGCATGGTCCTTCAGAAATCATTATATGATTTGCTGCTCAGGGAGAGTTTGTTAATATAATTAATGTTGAAAATTGTTTTGTTGTTTAATATATTTGTGAAACCGTGATTTCCCCCCCCCAAGATTCTTCGACCTTAAACCTTTGAATGGTAGTGTACAAATACCTATGAATACTAATGAAATAACGCTGGCATACATGGCAAAAGCAATTGTGAGAATGCTACTTCAGATTGTATTATATTTTATGCGTGTTATCTCACTTGTTGCTTTTTGCTTTTTCCAGTTTCCAGTAAGTAGGGTCACTCCAGGAGCAGTGAGTGATGTTACTGCGGTGATCCGAGAGGGCAAGATGGGTCCCAGCAAGCCTTCCCAGCTGCTCCGTGTTCCTGTATGCCACAAAGAGAACATAGAAGAAGAATTGAATATGCATGAAGCACAGAGACCTACTGCGAGAGAAAGACAGAGAACTACAGATTAAACTGACTGGTAAGCCCTAACAAGTTGGTGTGTGTGTGTGTGTGTGTGTGTGTATACTGTATATATATATATATATATATATATCCCCAAAACCAACTGGACCAGCTTAAGCTGAAATCAGCTTTTTTTTTCTCTTTTTCTTTTTACAGCAGGGATTGCATTAAACCATGTTCTTTATTATTAACTGTGACAAACTGTGAAAAGTAATGCTATTAGAGATGATGCCAAGGACACACTGCAAAATACACAAACATTATGCATTACAAATCAGTCTGGCTATCCATTTTCCACAAGCCAGTAAGGTTATGGATTAAATTCCCAAATCTCAAACCCGCATAAACAAACCTACAGGAGGACAATCAGCTAAATAATTCCCTAGATCGACATAAATGTTGCTTTCATCATTGGGAATCAAAAGAGCATTTCATTTTCCTCTCTAAACTTATTAAACTGATCAAAGCTTCAATCAAAAGTTCGTCTGAATGGTTAAACACTGAAAATGTTGGAAGAGGCTCGAGGCTTTTTCTCATCGACCGGGCCATATTTAACCTTTAATTTTCTAGCGTCTGTCCGAATTCTGCTCAACAGACTCTGCTTGTTCATAAAGGTTAATTACATTTGGCTTCAGCTCTGGGCTGGGCATTGCTGAAATCCAGAGGGGTTGACAGATTGTCAGGTTGAATATGTATGTGCCATTTCCACGAGTGCAGAAAGCAGATGCATTTTTAAAGCATGTGTGATGTTCTGCTTCACAAAAACGGCTGAAGTTATCAAGCTTTCTGGATTATAAATGACATTGCCCTTTCTCTTTCTGTTGTTGCCCTTTTAAGCCACAAAATAAAAATGACGTTAAATGATATAAATCGAAAGAAATTATACTAAAAATAAAATACAGAAAATAAAATAATACAATATAGAAACAATAAAATATACTAAAAATAAAAATAAATAGAATAAAATAAAATAATTTTTCAATAATACAGTCATAGACAGTGTTATTTTAGTACCATTGAGATACCAGTATGGTTTTTATTAATAAATGTGTGTAATATTCTGACACTGTGGTTAACCATATACTGTATATATATATATATATATATAATTTATTTATTTTTTTATATTGAAAACATGTATTGAATATATATATTATTTGCAGCTAGACACAAATATATCATAATGCAAATTTGTCTAAATCAGAGAAACTAAAATAAAAAAAATATTTATTTATTTACATTAATTACCCATATGAAATTATGTCTTGTTTGGCAAGTTCTCCTCAAAATCTAACTTTAAATGTGACGTTAAATCATTGCATTTGTTATTATTTCTGCCTCTCGAACATCAGTTCATTATAAAAGAATATCAGTCACTGTTGTGTCCTGTCAGTTACTTTTTTGAAAAGATGTATTGTGCATTATGGGAGTTAAATGAAGAAGGAGATGATGAGATCTGCTCATTAAAACATTTAATGATGCATGAACTCATGATTTGCATCTGTTCGCTGAAACAATACGGCTTTTCTTGCTATTACTTTCAGATCTGGGAGACACGCACACACACACACAGATGCTGGATTGATAACCTTGGGCAGATAACATAGATCATTACTACACCTCATGATATCTGGCTTTTCTCTAGGTTACTGCGCATTAGTTTTCATTTATTTCACTCAAAGTTTCATATGTTGTGAGGCCCGCACTCTTTGAGGACGCGTCTCACACATATCTCATCAATCTTGAATTAGCTGCTTGTCTTACATATAAAAAGATGAGATTGTTTAATGAGAACAGCCACGCGGGCCTCAGTAAAAAGACGTCTTCCAGCTTAGTCATTAAATAATTAAAAGCACATGATCAAAAACCTAAAAACTGATTAAAGCTACCAAAATCAACAACGAGAGCGTAGCGTTTACTGTCTCTGCTCTAGTACCGCTTTTCCCATGGCTAAATTACGACATGAGCTTGAGCAAACAATCTCAATTTTCATTTTTGGGTGAGCTGTCCCTTTAATAAACACCTTTTTTTCTTCTAGCTTTGAGGATAAAAAAGGATGAATTTACTCATAAAGGTTTAGAGACGTCCTGTATAAACCCGTCTTCGCCCTGAACCGAGCGAATCAAAACTGGGTCGATTGGTTGATATTACTCTTGGGAAGGTTAAGAGACTTTGATATGTTTTGATGTCAGGAGTGATGGGATAGAGGGTGACAAGAGGACATTATCTGTAATCTGTTGTTATGAAGGCATCAGACAGAGGCGGTGAAAGCTTTCAGAATGGCCTGTATGAGACAAATGGTTACTAGGGGTGAGAGACAGAGGAGACCTTTACAGTCGACGTGATGCGTGGTGAATGTTTGAGGTTAAAACACAAGGTCTAAAACTGTGCATTCTGCTGCTCACTGTTGGTTATTTGGTTTGGTGTTTTAGCCTAATGTTTTTGGCTAATCTAAGACTACAGCTTGTATAGGCAGCACTCAAACAGAAATTAAACCTCATGAATGACCGATTTTGAGCGTTCTACATAGGCAGCAATTCTGCATGGGAGACTCTACTCATAATTGATTCCAAATAGAGTTTGGCATTAGCATGTTGCTAAGCTAATGATGCATAAAAATACACAGCTCACACAAATAGTGGGCAAAACTGCGTTGAATGACCTTAGATACATTTGTAGACTTGTAAAAAGATGCCAGAATTCGTCCTGGAACCCGGAAACCAGTTATGGTGGTATTTTTGCCGGTCCATTTCCATTGTCCCAAAGTCAATGGGATTTTTGAATGGGGATTTGGTTAAATGCTTGAAATAAGGTCTATGGTTCATGTTTTATTCTAGGATATAAAATACACCAGTAATAGCCGACTTTTTTTAATGTCTTGAAAAAGGAAGGTTAAGAGGCTGAATGGGACTACAGAGGTTGTCAGAGACATTAAACATCATCACATTGAACAAAAAAACTCATCCGCTTTATACTTGCAGTCTTGCAAACTTTTCCAACTCAAACTTTCCTTGTACATTTAACAAAAAAAAAAAAGCTGAATGGTGGTCAAGTCATGTGACCATAGTTTGTTTATAGCCAATGTTTCGTTTTTTTACTTCTGGCGATTGTATTTAGGCTTCAAAATTCATATGTTTTTGTGAACAAATGAGGAACAAAACATACAGGAATCATAACTTTTATTGTTTTTTTTCTGGAATAATCCAAAAGCCAATGCACAAATCCTGTTGACTTTTTGTTAAGGAAATCAGGGTGAAACTAACTTCTGGGTTGTCCTACAGAAAAAAAAAATACATAACCACTGCTTTGCATTATGGGAATGACCTCTCCTCAAAAAATACTTGCATATGCATATGTAGGCAGCTTACTACGTTCTAAGCGTCTAAACATTTCCTCCCTTCTACTATTCATAGATGTAGTGATTTATGTTTTTTGTTTAACCACACAAAAACAATAGCTGATTATTCGAAGGGAATAAATAAATAACCCAGCAATTGCACAGTTTATAAGAAGAGATCCTAAGAATCCATCTTGTGAGATTCTGCGATTCTTTATGCAACTGTCTGCGAATATCTTCTTACAAAATATGCCTTCAGAAAGAGGAAAAGTACAGATAGTCTCATCCATGCTGTGAGTGACTGCCAAAATAACGTGTGAAAAGCATTCAGCATATTGCAGTGAAGATCTGTTACAATGCCGGCTTCCTGACATGCCAGCCTATGAGTTACACACAGGTTTGTGTATACATTTCAAAATATTAGCATAGTCTATTTATGAGCAGACCACGTCTTTTATTAGATGCATTTGTCATAAAGAAAGAGGTGAAGTGTAATGCACCCATTGTGTATCCCAGTAATTTGTATCAATTTACAATTCCTGTCATGCTCATGCGACCGAGAGAATAATAAATGTTTATTTATTTGGGAAGCAGAACAGCCTCTTCATTATGAATGAGAATGTATTGCTGCTGCTGACACTGGACCTTGAGTGAAGCCCCTTACCTGATCGTATCTGCTCACTGAGACGATTCACTGGCCTCACCATCAGACACGCTTCTGTAACTTCTGATTATATTCATTAAGAGCCGGGTAGCTGGTCAATTTTTATGGACCTTTTATCACATCACCAGCCCTTTAAACAAGATCACCACCATGAAGGAGCTAACTAATAATCCTGAAAGTGAACGAACAAATTTGACTCAAGTTATACGGGAAATACCATGCATTATATTATTGTAAGTCAAGGTAAATAATCATCATGTTATGAAATGTACTGAAAAACCACACATTTGTAGCATTACATTAGCATTTCATTTACACATTAATCATAACACTCACTTTCAGATTTCAGGCAGTGATTTTATTTTATTTTTTTCTGGCAATATCTGTCTGAAATCTATTTAACTACTATACTACAGAAAAAAAAGGTGTACAGACCTGACCTAAAACCACAAGCGTCTTGAAAAAAAGAAAGTTTCATCATCCAGGACCCAGAAATCTTGTGTAAACTGCAATATTGACTGGAGCTGTGAGCAAATATAGTAATTTTATCCCATTCTTTCTTCATACAGTGTAGTGATAGTAAATGAGTGAACAAGTCAGCAACACATTGAAATATAATAATAAACATGAGCAGAGACAAAATTTCTCATAATCAGTGATCTCTCTCAAAAAGAAAAAAAAAACACTGAATAGAGCACACAATGTTTTCATAAACCCTATCCCTAACTCTATATATACAAATAAAATAAGTTCATTTTGCTCACCAAGGCTGCATTTAAAAATATAGTATTGTGAAATATTATTTAAAGATTTTTTTTTTTTGTATATTGTATAATGTATTTTATTCATATAATGGCAAAGCTTGATTGTCAGCACCTTTCATTATAATATAAAATATTTTACTGTCAGTTTGCA